ATGGCGCGACGTGACTCGCCCGTAGTGACCAGGGACCCTCGCCATCACGTAGCAATGCGCCTGAGGTTTCCGAAAATGTATAGTTTGTCGGCCAAAAAAAAAGCGGAACATTGTTCTCGCATGGGATTATTATTCTTTCTTTCTTTCTTTCTTTCTTATTATTATTTTTCTCCTAACCAACTCACCCATTTTTCACCCACTAAACAATGACGAAAAGTCCTGAAATTTTGCCATCTGGTAAAACTCGCGCTTCCCTACGTTTTGGCTATTTCCATTTTACAAACATAAATAAAATGGCTCGTCAGCGCCACCAAACGACTCAAAAATGCATTAGGGAATACGAATGACACAAAAAAAAACTTGCACGTACAATCATGAAATTTGACACAGAAGTCGATCATGTCAAGACAAGGAAAAAATATTATTACGCCAACACCGTGTGCTCCACTAGGGGGCAGCAATATTGGCTTAAAATTTGCTAAGCTGTTACGAACTCCTCCGAGGGCGTTCACCCCAACGAGCTCAAATTTGGTCCACATCATCTCAAGACGTAGAACAATAAAAGTTATCCAAATTGTTCACACACGTCTTACGATCTCTGAGCAGTGAAGCAACAAAAAATGCTCACAATTTTGGACATTTACAAATTGCTCCCATTTGCTCAAACGAACTCCGATTTCAATGAAATTTGAAACATTTGTTAAACTCTCTGCCCTGAAGCGACTTCATGTGAAAATTATGAATTTGGTGCATTAGCGCCCCCTATAGATTGAAACAAAATTTAATATAGAAAAAAATCATTAGTTCCCAAATGGTTGCTCAAAAATTTCTGAAATTTTGCACAAAATTCCCTTTTGGCATCCTGATCCAAAAGTCAATGACACCCATGTCATATTTTTTATGGCGTTGCCATAGCGATGGCATAAACTCTCCATTTTTAAAATCTACAAATTCTGGCACTAAACTATGGCCGATTTCACTCAAATTTCAATCGTTGATTGACACTCCGACCCTGAACATATTTATATAAGAAAATCTCAGATGGGCGCAATAGCGTCCCCTAGGGAAATTGCATGGTAGTGCAAACATTTACTTTGTTGTAGACATATAAAATTTGGTACACAGATTCATGACATGGTCTTGATCAAAAAAGTCAATGACGACCCCATGCCATTTCCCATCGTGTTGCCATGGCGACAGGCCAAACATCTGTCCTTGCCAATAGGCCTGACAAAAACTTTGGCGTATCCAAACCAAATTTGGTACACAGATGCATCATGGGAATAGGAACAAAAAAGTATATTACGCGGTTGCTAGGCAACCAACAGGAAGTCGGCCATATTGGATTGATCGTGCGACCTGTCCTCGTACTTGAACGAACTCGTCCTTGGGCGTTTGACCCAGACACAATCATTCTGTATCATCTAGACAAGTGAGACATTAAAAGTTGTTAAAAGTTTTTAAAAGTTCACACGGTGTTGCCGTGGCAACGGTGCAAATTTCAGGTTTGTTTTTAGGGCTCATCATCAAACTTCAACGAGTGATAATTTGCACAAACTTTGGCCGATTTCATTCAAATTTTAATCATGACTTCACACCTCAACCCTGAACAGACTGATGTAAGAAAATACAAAAATGGGTGCAATAGCGCCCCCTGGAAAATTTGTATGTAAAAATAAGGTTTTATTTGTCACAGATATACAACATTTGGTATCCACATTTGCGACATGGTCTCGATTAAAAAACTCAATGATGCTCACATCCCGTTTACATTGTGTTGCCATGGCAACAAGCCAAACTTGTATCCTTGCCAATGGGACGTCCTTACACAAACGTTGGCGTAGCCAAACCAAATTTGGTATCCACATGCATCATGGCAATAAGAACAAAAATGTATATTGTGACCACGCCCCTTTACAAACCGGAAGTCCGCCATCTTGGATTTTTTTATTTTTTTGCCAAATTTTGAAAATTACAGAAAAGTAAATTTAAGATTTTTAGGTTTAGGGTTGGGGCTATGGTTAGGATTATGATTAGGGTAAGGTTTAACTTTAGGATTATTAGGGTCAGTGTGAGACACGGCGTTTGCGGGGCTTGGCGTTTGCGGGGTGCGGCGATTGCAGGGCGTGGCGATGGCGGGGCGGGGCGCGGCGTTTGCGGGGCGCGGCGTTTGCGGGGCGCGGCGTTTGCGGGGGCGCGGCGTTTGCGGGGGCGCCGTGTTTTGCGGGGCGCGGCGTTTGCGGGGCGCGGCGTTTGCGGGGCGCGGCGTTTGCGGGGCGCGGCGTTTGCGGGGGTGCGGCGTTTGCGGGGGCGCCGTGTTTGCGGGGCGCGGCGTTTGGGGGGCGCGGCGTTTGCGGGGCGCGGCGTGAGCGCACGCGAGGGCCGATCATCGCCGCTTGCGGCTATATTTATTATTATTATTTTATTATTATCAAAAGCAGAGTCTAGATGACCTCTGACCTCTGAAACCTTCTCTACGCTGGACCACTGCTGGACGAGTGAGGGTTTACAGCATATGAGTTTTTAATAAAATGTTTTTTATTCAGCTTGATGTTGTGATGGTTATAATACAGTCAATGTTGAGTCTGGACTATTACTGAACCTAGAGACTAGACCAGAGACCACAGAAATCTGCAAACACAAACTCCAAACACAAAAAATTGAAGTGAGCCATGAAAATCCCTTTTTACACACAACAGATCTCCTTTCATTGAGACCTGCTTGTAGATATTATTCATTTGTTGGAACGTTATGCTGCAGTATCACAATAAACATAAAATTATTAAAATTCAATAAACTAACATTTAAAAATGGGCATTCTTATTGCGAGGAAAAACTTACATAGTACATTTTACAGTTTTATGTTATTGTTTAAACAAACCTAACTGGTCAAAAAATGGGCTTTATTCACACTTACATCACAACCCTGGCAGACGTTTGGAAACATGTGGGTGACGACTTCCTTTGGGCTCTTTTGGTGACAGTGACTCTGGGGAAAAAGTAGATTTCATTGTAGTGTTCCATAATGTTCAGCAGATCAACAGTCTCATCCAGCTGTCTGTAAGTGACACTGAAGGTTTGATCAGAGTCTTGTCCCCCAGGGAAGGTTTTGGCAGGTTGTGAAGACGCTGCTGCTGAATCCATTGATTTCATTCATTCATTTATTTATTTATTTCGGTCACAGGTATATTTTGACATTAATTCATAAACAGTCATATTTAACATATACAGACCGAAAAGGTGCAGGCTGAAGCTTAAGCTTATTCTGCCTTTACCCTTTATTCCTTTGTCAGAGCTTCATCTTGACACCAGTTCATCTTCATAAATACAGCAGGAAGAAACAAACTAATCAGTAACAGAACAACAAAGTTCTACAGCACAAACTAAGTCTCATATTTCATGTATCTGTCCAGAGTTAAACATTTAAACTTCTTTATGAAGTGAAAGAAAGTGGTGCACAATTTTAGGTTTTCTGTACAGTTGTTCCAGAGCTCCGCCCCTTTAACAGATTTACAAAATTTCATAATGTTTGTTCTGATTTTCTTTTTAATAAACACGGTCGTGCCTCTGAGCTCATATCGGCTCTTTCGGATTTTGAACATGTTCTGTAAAGATTTCGACAGGAGATTGTTGTTTACTTTGAACATGATTTTAAGAGTGTACAGGTCGACTAAATCATAAAATTTCAGCGTTTGAAGGTTTATAAATAATGCATTGGTTGGTTCGTTATAAGTTGATAATGTGATGCTCTTATTGCCTTTTTTTTGTAGGGTAAAGATTGGCTTTGTATTCGTCTTATATGTATTGCCCCAAATCTCAATACCGTAGGTTATGTAGGGCATTACCAGTGAGTTATATATATAAAAAAGACTGTTTTTATCTAGGGTATATCTATATTTATATATAATTGCGATCACTTTGGATAGTTTGTTTCTAATTGTATTTATGTGTGATTTCCAGTTTAAATTATGATCTATAGTTACTCCTAAAAATGTATTTTGAAAGACTCTTTCTAGTGGTGTATTATTGAGCATAATTTGTACATGATTTTGTACTTTTCGCTTTGCAAATATCATAAATTTAGTTTTTTCTATGTTTAGCGATAATTTATTAATATCAAACCAAACTTTAATTTTCTGCAGCTCCCTCTCCACCATTTGAAAAAGCTGCCTTTGGTCTTCACCTGAGCAGTAGAGGTGGTATCATCTGCGAAGAGCACATCATTGAACATTTTTGATGCCGAACATAAATCATTTATATACATAATAAATAGTTTTGGCCCAAGCGTCGAGCCCTGTGGAATTCCACAATTTACTTTCAACAATACAGATTTTTTATTATTTATTTCAACATACTGGTATCGGTTTTGTAGACAGTTTTGTAGCCAGGCATGCACAGGTCCTCGCAGTCCACAATCCACAGTTTTATCACATGCCCAGTGTCGGGAACTACACTGGAATCAACTCATCTGCATGTTTCTAACATCTTCTGGTAAGAGTGAATAGGGCCAGTTATTTAATTTTGTAATCTGGAAATAATCATAATCCACTTTTGAGCCCACTGCCCTTTCCACCAGTGTGTCTGTTGGAGTTTTAATGCTGCTCATTGCCTTTTAATTTTAATCATCACCTTGTTTTTACAACTAAAAATAAAACATCCAAACAATCCAAAACAAAACTTATTTTACACCAATTCCATGTTCTTTACAACAGCAAGTTTTCTATCTCTGAATGCACCAGCAAACATAAAAAGAACAGTTTTAGAGACTTACATTGCAAAAGCCAGAAGCTTCTCTTGGTTTTTGTTTCTTCTGTATCCAACATAGAAATCATTCAAAATAAAACTAAAGACTGTTCAGCTGTTTGTTTTATGTTGGTCTTGTGTTAGATATTGTGTCTTATGTTGGATTTGTGGTTGTTCCAGGAAGAGGCAGTGCCCAAGAGAAGCTGATTGGACTTCATCATTGTGCAGGGAGGTGTCATGTGAGGCAGACTGTCCCTGACACAGCACCACCGACCAGACAACGCCTAGATCCTGACGCCATAAGGTCTGATTGGATTTTTTTAACTTTTTATTATGGCTGATTTAATCTGATTCTCATGTATGTGCTGCTAAAATTTTCCCTTTAATTTTTAATGTGTTTCATTTTTCAATTTTCTATTGAAACTTCATTTGTTCAGCAGATTTCATAAAGAATTTGGTGCTGCACAGAGACGGAGTAAAGTTTAAAATGTGGAAATGTGGAGTGTGATGTTTTTAAATGAAAGAATGGGACAGTGCAGGTTTGACTGTAAACTGATGAATATTTGGATGTATTTTAAATGTCTGTAACCTGTCTGTAATCTTTGGTTAAATCTGGTGTAAAACATCTCTTCTTTTATGAGATTAATGTGTTTGCACATGGTCCCTGTTAAAATAAATCAATAAACTAAACTAAACTAGTAACAACAATTTAAATAATAATAGATAATTATTAATAATAAAATAAACAATAACTGCTCAGTTTGCTCTTTTGAAGTATTTCTAACTCTGTTACACGTTTAAATACAATAGTGATAGTTTGGCTGTAAAAACACACAGAGAGGAGCTGATGTGACACTGATTTATTTATTTATGTCACTCATAACAGACAAAACAGACTGATAATTCGTATCAGAACATTCTGTGTTTAAAAGCCTCCGACCAGCACCAGCACTGTCTGGATCTTGGACATGTGGTGAATTTTATAATGAGCTGAAGTGTAGGTGTCCTCCAGAGTCACTCCTTGGTAAATAATACGGATGTCACCAACTAAAATGAAATCACAGACACAAATTAATACAATTAGATTAAAGCACATTACAGCTGTATTCTTGGAGGCGTATTTTATAAAATGCCTAAACTTACTTATTCCCAGTTTTTCACAAACCATCTCTCTCATTTTCTCCACAGTGATCTTCTCTAGCTCCATCTCGTCTTTGCAGATATTAACAAGAGCATTTTCTCCGTGTGGAGTGTTCACCTTCAGTTGAACGACCATCTTCACACTCGCAGGTGAGTTTGAAGCTTTGTGCTGTGTGTTGACTCGTCTGGCACCAAAGAGCAAATGAAACAGAAACGAAAGGAACACAGGTTTATAGACACTGTGACGTGAGGAAATCAAAATGGATGTGTCTGTTTCTGCTTCTAGATGCACAGTATCTTTGTACTTTTAAGAATAAATTACACTTCCAAGAACAGAAACAGACTAGAACAGACTGGAACACAAACTCACTGATACATTTGTGACTCTGTGTTCTGTGCTTAAAGTTTGACTCAGTCTTTTGTAATAATGTCCCTCAGTCTTATATGAGTCAATATATTTGTACAATCACAGAATATCAACAATACTTGAGAATATAATGAAAATATTTCATCTTAGCCTATGCCCACCACACACTACAGGAGAATTTACCTGATTTAGGACCAGATTTAATTCTACCTGACTTCAGGGAGGCGTGTCTTGACTTTGTACCTTTGTGTTTTCGTATGCAGTTTTGAAGCCGTTGTGTTCCTTGTGTGTGGTGTAAACATGACTCTTCTTTCTGTGGACTTTTTCTCCAGCCTCCTGTGCATCAAAAATCATGTATCTGAACTATTGCACCACATTTCACAAATAAAATAACAGTTTTGTATCTAAACTAGAAGTACACAGCTCTGATCTTTGAACACTTGTCAAAGTGAGTTGTTTTAGACAAGTCATAACTTTGATCTTGTAGCTGCAGGTTTTTGGATCAGAGATTAAAAATCTCATAAGATTCTCCTTGTGTCTGTGGTGTGTAGTTTTTTGTCACATATTTAAAAATCGTTTAAGAGTAAAAAATCCTGCAGCGTGTGGTCAGGGTTTAGTTTATTTGTGCTGATGGAAAACACTTATACATTTTATTTCCTCAGTGGATATGTCATGTAAATGACAATGTGATTGTCAAAGTCAAACAGTCATGATGCTAAACTTGTCTGTTAAGTGTTTTTTATAAAACACTCCATCACCCTGCAACAGGAAACAATCTTTATCACTGTCTGTTGGTCAATGTGTTTTCTGTAGAGACTGTTTTAAGATGGGATCCTCGGGGTCACGAGAACAAAATGTGGAAAATATGACACCACCACAACGGCGAGAGGTGAGCCCTCGAAGAGTGGAACGAAATCTACAAAATAATGCACCAGTACAACAACCAGAGGCAAGTCCTCCAACAACGGAACAAAATCTACAAAATAATGCACCAGTACAACAGCCAGAGGAGAGTCTTGAAGACATAGAGGATGATTCAGACACAGACGAGATAAGAGATGAAGATGTGAATTTAAAGGAGAGACTGCAACAACTTCAGGAACGTCAGAAGCAGCAAAACCCAGACATCAAAGAGAAGTGTTATGATCCCAATGATCCTGATCTGGAGTTTACAGACAAAGAAGATGAACATGACTGTGAGTAAAGCTTCTGTGTCCACATACCAGCCACATTACACAACAAGACACACAGATTAAGACATAATACAGCCGTGTGTTTGTGTATATTTGGTGCACGTAGTTGAAACATCACAACAGGTGAACAGGTGAAGAAATCTGACTTTAATTTAATCTTGTTGAGAGAAAAGCACTTTTCCTCCACAAATGTACAAAGTTCTTCCCTCTGCACAACTGACACAAACTAAACAATCTGTGTTTCTGTAAGAATAGACTCAAGTTTCCCCACAGTAGATCTACAGTTACAGTTGTTTTGTGTGTGTTTTTAACAGTGCCCGTGTTTTTCTCCAGATGTTCTTTAAACCTTTTGTTTTTTCAGTTCTGTGTGAAGGTTTCAGCTCTAGAAGAGCTCTGATGTCCTGTGGTCACTCAGTCACTCCTCCATCTCTCTTCTACTGGTGCAAGATACAACTGGATCAGGTGAGGAATAACTCCAAACTGTCTCTCTTTAATGACTTTATATCATTAGTATGATGTTTTACAAAGAAACTTTTAAATACATTCTTAGAGCTGCAGTTGATTAAAGACATGTCGATTAGTCGACTAATATGGGGCATGGAAAAAACTCTTAAAACTATTACGCCTCTGTGTAAATGAAATGCAACTGAGTGCTGTTGGACTGACCACGGTTACACAGTTTAGCAGCAACACTTGTTCTTAAGAGGAACCCGAGATATAAGTGAAGGAAGCACCATCCACTATTTTAGTGTCAAACCTGAGTACTTAAGAAAGTAAAAGTGAAGTTTAGGAGATCACTGAAACACATCAGATCTCAATGTGTAAAAATATTTATACAAATATGGACAGGGCAATATCTTAGGAACAACAGGTGTGAGGCGTTCAGTGAATTAACAGAATCGTACAAATAAATATCAGTCTAATCCATTAAAAAACAATATGTAACATTCTCAGGACTTCTTTTATTTAGAAATATATTAGTTTGATAAATGTTTAACATTCATAACATGTGTATGTGCTGTGTGGGAGTCGTCCGGATGCCCTCCCACAGCAGAGCACAGCCCCTCGCCTGCTCCCTGTATCACCTCAGCTCTAATCTAGAGTTTAGTTTGAAAAGCTGCTCGTTCACATGAGGCCGTTTACAGCCATGTCCTGAAGTTACTCTGCTATTCTAATGCTGTGATTTCCTTACATCCTTGTTCACATTATGCTGCTTTGGTTAGTTTATAAAATTAGTTGCCAATAGATACGCGACCATCAGAACCGTAGAAAACTGCATGGGGCTGTGACAGTGGAGCAGATGCACTTAGTAGAGCCAAGGGACGTATAGTGACATGAGCACTGCTCTGTACAGACCTACGCATCATGCTCTGCGTGCTCATGGTGCACGTCAGTTGCGTCACTTGTGCGGGGCAAATGCAGGTTGTGCAGTCACCCTCCCTGTGTGTTCATGGCTTAATCCAGGTCTGTGAACAAAGTGGTAACATCAGAAACATTTATATGACAATAAACCACAAATAAATAAATAAATTCCATAATCCAGAGACTTCAACCTGTGTGGGACCAAATGTACAGTCATACCTCAGGTGAGAGACTTGGGACCAGGACAGACGGGAGCGGGTGGGACCAGGTGGAGAGCAGTGGTCAGCTGCTGTGGGATGTGGAGCATGAGACAGACTCTGGTCTGCTGTGTAATGAACAGAAGAACGAAGAGAAAACTAAAAAGGTTGACGTGTGTGTGTGTGTGTGTGTGTGTGTGTGTGTGTGTGTGTGTGATGGTTCTGTCATGGCACATCCAAAATTCTATATATTGTGCTGGAGACACATTAAACCTTTAATGGCAGATCTGGATGTGTCATCCTGGAGAAACTGGACGATCTGTGCATCTTCTGTAGGGTTAAGGAATGACCTCATTCTCCCAATCATGATCTGGAAAACCTGCCAAAAAACACCAAGAGGAGAAACTTGAAATGACCTCCATGTAAAACCAGTCCTGTTTTAGGGGGGCTCATTGGTGTCAGTCTAGTGCCCCTGGCGCTCATTTCCATTAAAAGAGGAGCATCCTTTTGTTTATAAGACATTGTCAACATATATTTAATGATGCATCAGCTTCTGTTGGACTAAAGGACACAACTAAACGTGTTTTCTGTGACAGAGGAATGTTACTGTAACTTTTGGATTTTGTAGAATGTACTGAAAGTGAATGAGGGCAGCTCCTCTGCACGTGCTCGATGTGTGTGTGGAGCAGACTTCAGAAAATAGGATCCATCCTGTTTTTTGATGCTCTACGTGAGCGTAGGTGTGTGTCTCCGTCAAAATCCACAGAGAACATGAATCTTTGGTTGTATTTGTGTATTTACCATCAGCACAACCTCCTGGGGCAGTTCTGTGTCGTGTGAAAGAACCCAGCTCCACAAAGACTGTTCATTAGTGCTTTAAAATGTACTTTTGAAATCCTGGCGTTTGCTGTGGTGAGTCTGTACAGAAGGTAAATACAAGTGTGTTCAGCTGTTAGTTTCACTGTGGACCTGATACAAACGACTAAACGCTCCAGTCAAGTCTGATCGTCTTTCCCACTGACAAACACAGAGTCAGTGCTGCGCGTGGACGTCCTGCTGCATCTGCCTGTGGAGCCGCCTTTGCGTTGATGCGCAGCTGTGGTTTCGCGAGGTTACGTGCGTAAAACACTGAGGCGTGCAGTGGAGCCAGGCCCTAAAAAGCATGAGCAGAACTTGTAACTCGAATCATCAGCAAACAAATCAACATTCCAACATTTAATTGAACCCAGCAGTGACGTACGTCGTTCATCTCACATAATCTGAACAAATTCATGTTCAAGTTCTTGATTTACAAAAGTGTTGCGTTCAGTTCAAAGTTCACTGAAAAATGATTGTGTTCAATGAACACGTTCATGCACAGCACTGCCCGATGGCTCTGCTGCTTTCATCATCATTGCTTTATAAATAAATTAGAAATAATTCATTACAATGACTGTCATGCACATACAAGTATGTGTACAGCTGAACAGCATGAGCGCGGCCACAGAGATGGAATTCTTGTCAATCAAAATGTAGAGTCATATGACCTGCCACATGTGACTAAATGTGATTGAGACGCCATGTTGGCTGTGGTGAATTAGCGGTAATGAATGTTACTTTTTTGTCATTAAGTCAAGACACTACAGGCAAAACTCATTTCAAAATATTTTTTAGACGACCACTACATTTGCCACAGCAACAGAACTCATGTCACCCACAGCGTTCAGCTCCAGATGAGGATCATTCAGTTTAGCAGTTATAGCAGCAAGTTTGGAGTTTCATATTTGTACATTTGACCTTGAGTATCATCGCAACTATAGAGCCAATCAGGAGTGAGGTTGTTGAAGGTAACGCCCCTTACTGGGAGCACGCGTTTAGCAACACTGTCAATCACACCTGTTGTTAGTGGGAGGGACCTCGGGTAAAGGAGGCGTCTGATTGGTCTGTTTTTAATGTTCAGATCTGGATTTGGGACAAAATGTTGAAGTCCAAACCCCAGGATCATATAGAGGTCAAAGGTTCAAAGGTCAGAGAGAGGGGCCAGGCTTTTACACTCGAATTGGAGCCAAAGTCCATGGAGCCCAACTGCATCCATATGTTTAGCTTGACTTGCTCTACTATATGTTATTTTAAATTAAATTTGATGTTATTATTTATTTAATATTTATTTACAATATTATTTATTTAAGTGTTCACAGACCTGGTTTTCCATCATCCACAGTTTTAATATGGACAGTGACTTTTCTTGTGGTCAGTGAAAGACTCTTCAGTGTGTATAGTCAGTGTTTATCTGCAGGATCAGACCAGACAGTGTTGGAGCTCATTTAGATTGTTGTCATTGGCAACTGTTTCAGACTTCCTTTTGATTAAAATCCATCCATCCATCCATTTTCGTCCGCTTATCCGGGGCCGGGTCGCGGGGGCAGCAGCCTAAGCAGGGACTCCCAGACTTCCTTCACCTCAGACAAGTCCTCCAGCTCCTCCGGGGGGACCCCGAGGCGTTCCCAGGCCAGCCGAGAGACATAGTCCCTCCAGCTTGTCCTGGGTCTTCCCCGGGGCCTCCTCCCGGTGGGACATGCCCAGAACACCTCCCGAGGGAGACGCCCAGGAGGCATCCGGAACAGATGCCCGAGCCTCAACTGGCTCCTCTCGACGTGGAGGAGCAGCGGCTCTACTCCGAGCTCCTCCCGTGTGACTGAGCTCCTCTCCCTGTCTCTAAGGGAGCGCCCAGCCACCCTGCGGAGGAAACTCATTTCGAGCGCTTGTATCCGCGATCTCGTCCTTTCGGTCACTACCCAGAGCTCATGACCAGAGGTGAGAGTAGGAACGAAGACTGACCGGTAAATCGAGAGCTTCGCCTTTCGACTCAGCTCCTCTTCACCACAACGGTCCGATACAGCGACCGCATCACTGCCGAAGCTGCACCGATCCGCCTGTCAATCTCCCGTTCCTGAAGGCAAAGACTCCCCACCCACCCGGAGAGGGCAAGCCACCTTTTTCCGGTCGAGAACCATGGCCTCGGACTTGGAAGAGCTGATCTTCATCCCAGCTGCTTCACACTCGGGTCAAACCACCCCAGTGCACATTGCAGGTCCTGGTTCGATGAAGCCAACAGAACAACATCGTCCGCAAACAGCAGAGATGAGATCCTGTGGTCCCCAAACCGGACCCCCTCCGGCCCCTGACTGCGCCTAGAAATTCTGTCCATAAATACAATGAACAGAACCGGTGACAAAGGGCAGCCCTGGCGGAGTCCAACATGCACCGGGAACAGGTCTGACTTACTGCCGGCAATGAACACAGCTCCTGCTCCGGTCATACAGGGACCGGACAGCCCTTAGCAAAGGGCCCCGGACCCCATACTCCCAGAGCACCCCCACAGGACACCACGAGGGACACGGTCGAATGCCTTCTCCAAGTCACAAAAACACATGTGGACTGGTTGGGCAAACTCCCATGAATCCTCGAGCCCCGATGGAGAGTGTAGAGCTGGTCCAGTGTTCCACGGCCAGGACGAAAACCACACTGCTCCTCCTGGATCCGAGGTTCGACTATCGGCCGGATTCTCCTCTCCAGTACCCTGGCATAGACCTTACCGGGAAGGCTGAGGAGTGTGATCCCCCTATAGTTGGAACACACCCTCCGGTCCCCCTTCTTATACAGAGGGACCACCACCCCGGTTTGCCAGTCCAGAGGTACTGTCCCCGACCGCCACGCGATGTTGAAGAGGCGTGTCAGCCAAGACAGCCCCACAACATCCAGAGACTTAAGGATACTCAGGACGGATCTCATCCAACCCCCGGAGCCTTGCCACCAAGGAGCTTTGCCAACCACCTCAGTGACTTCAGCCAGGGTGATGGATGAGTCCGCCTCCGAGTCCCCAGCCTCGGCCTCCTCCTCGGAAGACGTGACGGTGGGATTGAGGAGATCCTCAAAGTTTTCCTTCCACCGCCGGACAACGTCCCCAGTCGAGGTCAGCAGCTCTCCCCCCGCACTGTAAACAGTGTTGGATGAAGAACTGCTTTCCCCTCCTGAGGCGCCGGACAGTTTGCCAGAATCTCTTTGAGGCCATCCGATAGTCCTTCTCCATGGCCTCCCCGAACTCCTCCCAGCTCTGATTTTTTGCCTCCGTGACCACACAGCCCGTGTGGTCAGCACGCTTGGCCCGCCGGTACCCGTCAGCTGCCTCAGGAGTCCCCCGAGCCAGCAAGGCCCGATAGGACTCCTTCTTCAGCTTGATGGCATCCCTTACTTCCGGTGTCCACCACCGGGTTCGGGGATTGCCGCTGCGACAGGCACCACAGACCTTACGCCCACAGCTCCGAGCAGCTGCATTGACAATAGAGGCCGAGAATGAAGCCCACTCGGACTCCATATCTCCAGCCTCCCCCGGAATCCGGGAGAAGTCCTCCCGGAGGTGCGAGTTGAAAGTCCCTCTGACAGAGGCTCTGCCAGACGTTCCCAACAGACCCTCACTACACGCTTGGGCCTGCCAGGTCTTTCTGGCTTCCTCCTCCGCCAGCGAACCCAACTCACAACCAGGTGGTGATCAGTTGACAGCTCAGCCCCTCTCTTCACCCGAGTGTCCAAGACACGCGGCCGGAGATCAGATGACACGACTACAAAGTCGATCATCGACCTCCGGCCTAGGGTGTCCTGGTGCCACGTGCACTTATGGACACCCTTGTGCTCGAACATGGTGTTCGTTATGGACAAACTGTGACTAGCACAGAAGTCCAATAACAAAACACCACTCGGGTTCAGATCAGGGAGGCCGTTCCTCCCAATCACCCCTCTCCAAGTGTCACTGTCGTTGTCCACGTGGGCGTTGAAATCCCCCAGGAGAACAACGGAGTCCCCGGTCGGTGCACTGTCTAGTACCCCTCCCAAGGACTCCAAGAAGGCCGGGTACTCGAGTACTCTGCACTGCTGTTCGGCCCGTAGGCCGACACCACAGTGAGAGACCTGTCCCCGACCCGAAGGCGCAGGGACGCGACCCTCTCGTTCACCGGGATGAACTCCAACACACAGCGGCTGAGCTGTGGGGCAATGAGCCCACACCAGCTCGCCGCCGCTCCCCGCGGCCAACGCCAGAGAAATGGAGAGTCCAGCCCCTCTCAAGGAGTTGGTTCCAGAGCCCAAACTGTGTGTGGAGGTGAGGCCGACTATATCTAGCAGGTATCTTTCAACCTCCCGCACAAGCTCAGGCTCCTTCCCCCCCAGCGAGGTGACATTCCATGTCCCCAGAGCTAGTCTCCATGTCCGGAGATCCGGTCGTCGAGGCCCCCGCCGTCGACTGCCGCCCAGATTTCTCTGCACCGGCCCCATATGGCTCCTCCCGCGGGTGGTGGGCCCACGTGAGGACGGCCCCACGTCGCTCCTTCGGGCTGAGCCCGGCTGGGCCCTGTGGGGGGAGGCCCGGCCACCAGGCGCTCGCTGGCGAGCACCCACCCCAGGCCTGGCTCCAGGGTGAGGCCCCGGTGACGCCAATCCGGGCGACGTAACTGGCCTCTGTGTGTGACTCATCATATGGGGCTTCTGAACCATTCTTCGTCTGACCCGTCCCCCCCGGACCTGTTTGCCTTGGGTGACCCTACCAGGGGCATGAAGCCCCCGACAACAGAACTCCCAGGATCATTCGGGCACTTAAACCCCTCCACCACGATAAGGTGACGGTTCAAGGAGGGGTTTGATTAAAATATATTTTTTTATTTCTTTAAGGGCAACACTTCATTTAAGTGCGGCGTCTGCAAAGCTGTGTGGCCTTTTGAGGAAGTGACAAAAATGGCTCTACTCACAGAAGAGGAGAAGGATGATTTTGAAGAGGCTTTGTTTCGTATCATTGCCCATAAAAATCTAAAAATCCAACAAGTGAGTGTTTAAAACATACATTTTAATTTTAGTGCCTATACTAAGGTCTGTTTTCTTTTCCAGTGCCCCGGCTGCAAGTGTCGTGTTATGAGAGAAGACCCCAGTAACCTGCGTGTCCAGTGTCCTCAGTGCTCTGCTAAAAATGGGAGATGTTATGAGTTCTGTTGGCAGTGTAAGAAAAAATGGAAAAGTCCTAGTGTACAAGATTCTAACCGCTGTGGAAATGAAGGCTGTGAAAATCCAGATCTGAGAATCCTGAAAACATGTCCAGAGATTGAGTTTGCACATGTGAGTGGAGTGACAGGCTGCCCGTCTATTCGTGCCTGTCCCACCTGTGGAAAACTCATAGCACATAACAGAGAGAAGTGTAAGAACATCACTTGTCCTGATTGTGAAGTGGAATTCTGCTTTGTGTGTCTGAAAATCACTACAGAGTGTTTGAAGACAAGTTCACATTATGAACCCTGCTCCAGTGGTGTGGCCCCCAGACAGACCTCCATCCCCGTCAGGAGGAATTAAATGAAAGGACCTAAATCCCCCTTCATATATACAGAGTCATAACAAAATCATTATAAATCAGTGAGGAAAATGATATTCCTTTTCTCATTTTTTTTGTCTAATCATATGTATTGTAAAATTAAGTCCTTGTTTACATTATAATTATGTTAACCATGTTTTAGGGAAATTAGTAGTCTAATCTAAGCACTCCGATTCACACGTGAACCTTCCCAGTAGATTCCTGGTAATTTACCCATAAAATTGCCAGATCAAAAATAATAATAATAATAATAATTTCAGGCTTTGTTCTCACACAACCCTGATCTCATAATAAAATTATTATAAACTGTTGAGAGAGTCATCTTTAATGAATTTGAATATAATTATTGAAATCCTTGAATATGATTGGTCATGGGCACGCCACACATTTGCTAGAGTTAAAAAATATATTTAACACACATGTGCAAAAGTCTTGAAGTGTAAACGACCATGGCAATGAATCACATGCTGCCGTTTCCCTTATTCAGGATTATTCTCTAGGCTTTATTTCTATTATTTAGTTATAACCATTTTCTAGTTTAAATTTGTATTTATAATTTTTATCATTTTGTTATAATCATTATTTCTATTGCTACTACTACTACTACTACTAGTACTACTTAATGTTAAAACCTGGCTGTCATTCACCATTTGATTATTTCTTTTATTTCATTATCATCATTATGTCTCCTATGTTATGTTTAAATCTGTATTTGATGTTGGACTCAGGCTTACAGCATCTGCCTGTCTGATTAAATATTGGGATTTTATGTTTTAATAATTGTGTTCTGTTTTACTTTAGTTTATTTTATTTAACTTATTTAGTGTCATGCACCATTTAATTGGTGCCCAGCCCACATGGGTTTATAAGACACATAAAACAATAAGCAGACAGATCACACATAAAGTATCAAACATAAAGTGTCATTTTACAGAGGTCTCAGACTTTACATTTAAACAAATACTCCAGTCTCTCCTCATCAGACACAGCAACAAACAGTAAGAAACATTAGACACATTTGACAGCGAAGGTCATGATACAAAAGACAGTAGAACAGAAAATGCATTTCATTTTCAACGTCCTTTAAGTCACACAGACACATGAGCTCTTCCTCTGGGACTGATGGAAGCGTCTCGTCCCACACCTCAGCTGGACACATACTGACCTCTGACCTCAGCTGGACACATACTGGACCTCTGACCTGACCTCACCTCTGCTGGACACATACTGACCTCTGACACTCTGACTCTGCTGGACACATACTGACCTCTGACCTACTACTGACCTAGCTGGACACATACTGACCTCAGCTGGACACATGCTGACCTCTGACCTTAGCTGGACACATACTCACCTCTGACCTTAGCTGGACACATACTGACCTCTGACCTCAGCTGGACACATTCTGACCTCTGCTGGACACATACTGACCTCTGACCTCAGCTGGACACACTGACTCTGACCTCAGCTGGACACATTCTGACCTCTGCTGGACACATACTGACCTCTGACCTCTGCTGGACACATACTGACCTCTGACCTCAGCTGGACACATACTGACCTCTGACCTTAGCTGGACACATACTGACCTCTGACCTCAGCTGGACACATACTGACCTCAGCTGGACACATACTGACCTCTGACCTTAGCTGGACACATACTGACCTCTGACCTCAGCTGGACACATTCTGACCTCTGCTGGACACATACTGACCTCTGACCTCAGCTGGACACTGACCTACTGGACCTCTGACTCTGACCTTAGCTGGACACTGACACCTACTGACACATACTGACCTCAGCTGGACACATACTGACCTCTGACCTTAGCTGGACACATTACTGACCTCTGACCTCAGCTGGACACATACTGACCTCTGACCTGCTGACACATACACTGACCTGCTGACCTACTGACCTCAGCTGGACACATACTGACCTCTGACCTTAGCTGGACACATACTGACCTCTGACCTCAGCTGGACACATTCTGACCTCTGCTGGACACATACTGACCTCTGACCTCAGCTGGACACATACTGACCTCTGACCTCAGCTGGACACATACTGGACACTCTGACCTCTCAGCTGGACACATACTGACCTCTGACCTCAGCTGGACACATACTGACCTCTGACCTCTGCTGGACACATACTGACCTCTGACCTCAGCTGGACACATACTGACCTCTGACCTCTGCTGGACACATACTGACCTCAGCTGGACACATACTGACCTCTGACCTCAGCTGGACACATACTGACCTCAGCTGGACACATACTGACCTCTGACCTCAGCTGGACACATACTGACCTCAGCTGGACACATACTGACCTCTGACCTTAGCTGGACACATACTGACCTCAGCTGGACACATACTGACCTCTGACCTCAGCTGGACACATACTGACCTCTGACCTCTGCTGGACACATACTGACCTCTGACCTCAGCTGGACACATACATAAAACGGTATTCTTACGTATGTTATGATGATGAGAGGACGGGGGCGCTCCGCAGCGTGCGACCCGGCAGTCTCTGGTCTAATGTTTTTAACTCGTCTTTGTTAACAAACACTCGTCCATGTTAACTAACAAGTGTGGAAGTGAACCGTGAGTGCACCAGGGAACGATCATGGGCCTACGCTTAAAGACTTTTGCACTATTGTGCATACTCGTGTTGTTGATGGGCGTCTCCACCGGTTTTGGCGTGGAGGGACACGGCGTCAATGGCAGGCTAATCTACAGCTGAGAATTTCTTCTGTCTCGACTATGATCTCACGACCAATACAGAGTATCCCTGCTGAGCTCTGGAAGTCGGGACTCGGGAACACCAAACACCGCAAAAGAGGAAGACGGGGAGGCGTGCGCAGGAGACTCAAGAACCTCCAGGTAAACAGCCGCCGCAAACTTCCACCTCTCCCATCTATCCTTCTTTCTAACGTGCAGTCCATCAGAAACAAGATTGATGAGCTGGAGGCGTGCGTTAAACTGAAACACGCTTGGGGAATCAGATATAAACACGGATCTGAATTTGACGGGTTTCGGAGGCCCGCTGCGCATGGATAGATCCGTGGAAATTACAGTTGCGGTGGAGGACTCTGTTTCTACGTGAATCAGAGTTACTGCAACACTGTCATTGTCAGGGAGAAAATATGTACCCCAGACTTGGAGCTACTGACAGTATCACTCAGACTGTTCTATCTCCCTGCTGAGTTCCAGCAGCTGTTTTTTTGTTAGTGTACATCCATCCGAAAGCTAATGCTACAACTGCTGCTCAGCTGATTGCTGATGTAACCTTTAAGATCGACTCTATTTGTCCAGATGCTCCTAAATTCATTCTTAGAGATTTTAACCACTGTAAACTGGAGAAAACTCTTAAAAGTTATGAGTAATATGTGACGTGCCCGACAACACAGAGGAATACGTGATTGGATCTTTGCTATGGCTCAGTAAATGGCGCTTACAAATCTGTGTCGCTCCCCCCTTTCGGGGCTTCTTACCACAACAGTGTGTTCTTGCTGCCAGTGTATATAGACCTGTTTTTAGACGCTTGTCACCGACACGGAAAACTGTTAAAGTGTGGAATGAAATGAGCAGAAGTTCTCTCCAAGCATCTTTAGAATGTACTGACTGGGATTGTTTTACAGATGCATGTGAGAATATAAGTGAACTTGTTGATGTTGTCTCATCTTATATAACTTTCTGTGTCGACTGTACAATTCCTACTAAAGAAGTGGTTATATACCCTAGCAACAAGCCATGGGTAACAAAGGAGCTTAAGTCTGTTATAAACAAAAAGAAAAGAATTCATTATTTAGGAGAAATAATGCGAATAAAAATGCGAATGTTTGGTTCGCATTTTGGCGAACCAAACATTTAAATGCACAAATCAGAAGGTAATTCTTCTATATACGTGGATTTTCTGATCAAACACTTCCTCAAACTCTGTTCACTTCTGCTTCTCTCCACGAGTGTCGCTTTTTCCCCGTGTCTCCAGACTTTGCGTAGAACTTACAGGAGGTTCCCGAGTTGGCGTAGAGTTAAGCAAAGAGCCACGCCTTAGTCGAGTTTTATAAATACCGCGGCTGGCGTAGGAAGCGCGTACGCACGGATTTTTGCGTAAGCAAGTTTTATAAATGAGGCCCCTGGTCTTTATTTGGTAAGAACGCAATAGAACACAAGACCTCGGAACTATATTCACCTCACCACAACAGGACAGCCGACCAAAACATGCTGTTTGCATGCCACTAGAAAGTAATAGTAATAGAAGTAGTAAAGTAATCTGTAAAGTAAGAGGCTGTGGACATATGCTGTAATGATGGCCACAGTGATTTGCAATAGTTGCTATAACAAGCATACAGGACAGATTCTTTATTACAGGCGGGCAGGGAAAAAGCCATGTCAAAAATGGAACTTTGGAGGGAATAGCAGATTCGGTTTTGGTACAGTCCAAGTATGTGCAGGCGCTGACTCTTCGGGACCATGAAAGCTACTTTTGTAAACTAATTCTAGTGGATGGAAGCAGGCTGGATGACCCATATGGCATGAAGACTTGATGGAGCTGCCGAGTGTGGAGTGGCCAGACAGCTACACTTACCTTGTCTAGTCACCAAGTGTGTATAGTCAAGAAAACCTAAGGGTATATAAATCCATAGATGCATACAACTATATTATAAACAGACACATTCAAACTCTGCAATACAGTAATTTACGTCCAGAAAGATGGGAGACATGTAATGCACCTGGGTGGGAACAGTTTTAACACTTAATTGCACTTGCATGGCTTGGTAACACTGGTGTAACAGTTCACAAAAATCACGGTTCAGTATCTCAGTTTTGAGGTCACGGTTCGGTTCATTTTTGGTTCAGTTTGGGAACAACATGCAAAACCACTTGCTTTTTGTTTATTTGTGTTTTTATTAAACCAACAATTTGTTTTAACATTTTACAAACAGGAAAATAAAATAAATGCAAAGTGTTGCTTGGTAATACTAATAAGATAAATAAAATATTCTCTAATAAGCAACAAATGTATGAAATATTATAAAAAATAAATTCCTTATAAACAGTAAAGAAAACTTTTTAAAAAGTAAAGTGCAGCAACAGTTCCAGCGTGAACTTTTACTCTAGCTTCAGATTTTTGGCCAGAAAAAACAACTTGTCCACATGGTCTGCAGTAAGAGCAGATCTGCTGGGGAGGCAGAGATTCCTTAACGGTGAAAGGCGAGAGTGAGGATTGGGTAGTGACAACCGAAGTTTTGCAGGATTCTTGTGGTTTGGAGTGACGTCATCAGGTCAGGGGGCAGTTGTTGTGAAGGCGACCGCTCTAACTATAAAGCGCTGCAGCAATCATGGAAGAGTTCCCTCGTGAATATTAAAGAGCCGAGTCTCTGTGTAGCTGCACATGTAGCACACAGCCACGCACTGAACCAAACATCCCATACTGAAACGGTTTGGCATGAATACATGTACTGTTACACCCCTACTGGATTAGTTTCACCTAATTCTAATAAAACATAAATACTTAATTGCAATATACTCTCATTAGCTGAAACCACAAAACCAAAAAATCGACAAAGCCTTGTTTTGGGTC